GTGTTTTATTAATGTAATATCTAGTAATTGTTAAAATTTCAATGCTTTGTCATTGTTTTTATGTAAGGGTTCATACAATCTTAACATGTTAAAATATAAACTCTCGACGTTTCTTCTTCAATTGAACGATGATTTTCAGGGGTGTCCCCGAGTACGCGGTACTTCTGTGTTTCTTATCAGGATGCGTTACGGTTATCTTTGGAATTCTTCGATTAGGATTTCTAGTCGATTTCGTTTCGATACCTGTCGTTTCCGGGTTCACCTCGGCGGCGAGCCTAATCATCGCTTGTAGCCAAATTAAGAGCCTGCTGGGTTTAGAAATCCACGGCGAGAGCTTCATCGAGATTTGGAAGGAGCTGGTCGGCCAGATCAGCAAGACCAAAATCCCTGACCTGATCTTGTCTTGCTGCTGCATTCTAATTCTATTGACCCTGAAGGTAATTTACCACGCAGCAGAACTAGTTCTTGCGAGCCGTGGACGTGTGGAAAAAATCCGAGAATTAACGGGAGAAACGTACATGAGTTTTTTTCGTAATTTTCTTCTGCCTTCAGAAACTGAAAGATCTCAAGGTCTCGAATCCGATTCTCAGCAAAACGATCTGGTTTCTGGGAACTGGAAGAAACGCGCTCGTGGTGATAGCATGCGCGACGGTGTCTTACGTTTACGAGAATCGAGGACAAGCTCCTTTCAGTCTCACTGGACACATCCAGGCAGGCTTGCCATCGATAGATCCACCCCTCTTATCGATAAGCGTTAACAATCAGACCGTCACTTTCCTTGACATGTGCAAGAATTTGGGCACCGGTATCGTGATCGTTCCACTGATTTCGATTATCGGAAACGTAGCCATCGCAAAAGCATTCTGTAAGTTCCGTCACTGTTCGCAAATGCGTTTACTTCTCCAAACTATAAATACTTTTTGAAAAGCGCGAGGACAGTCGCTGGACGCAACTCAAGAAATGTTGACTCTCGGTCTGTGTAACATCGTCGGCTCGTTCTTCCATTCCATGCCGGTCACGGGTTCGTTTTCCAGAAGCGCGGTGAACAATGCCTCAGGAGTGAAGACACCCTTGGGAGGAATCTACACGGGTAAACTATATGAATCTCATGATCGTAATGAGAAACCTTCGGATCACCGGAAAATGAGAGGCAAATCTTATTTTTATTTGTCGTAGGTATACTGGTCATTCTTGCCCTTAGCCTCCTCACGCCGTACTTCTATTATATTCCAAAGGCGACATTAAGCTCCGTCATTGTTTGCGCAGTCATATTTATGGTCGAAGTGAAGATGATACAGCCAATTTGGAAATGTAGCAGTGAGTTTAATTTGAACGTATTTAACAGTGAATCTAACTGGTTAGAGTAGTCATGGGAATTTTTCTGATAATTTGACGTTTCTTCCTCTGTTTTGTTGATAACATAAGAAATTTTCTAACGAAAATGAAGTTTTTTTATTTTTTGCAATTTCTTTTTGTTAATTGTAATTATGATGTAATTCCTATAGACCGGTATTCATTGTTACTTATTTTTAAGATCGTCTTAAATATTTCCTATCCCTGTCTATCCCTCGTCTTGTACAGGAAACAGGGACTTAAGCAAATGCTTAAGACGATCTTAAGTAACGACTCTGAATACCGGCCATAGAGTTCCTCATGGCATAAATAAATCCGAAAATATAATTGGTCTGTTACGCACCGTTTCCAAAGAATAGATATTTATAAACATGCATAATTTTTATGAAAATTAGGTATTGTATGAAAACTAATAGCGCGGGAAAATTCATTTTTGAATCAACCTGTAGAGGAGACCAAAAGTTGAAAATAGTTATCGAGAACCGAAAAAATGCGATAACTATTAAATATCAGTCTTGATTTACCTATACTGGTTTTAGTTTTGGTTCTTTTGCCTCGCTCTGTAACTTATTTTATTAAATATCAGCGTAATCTCACTGAAGCGCCATAACTATTAAATATCTCAGTCCTGACTTATCTATTCTGGTTTTGATTTTAGTTCTTTGATTTTTGCCTCACTTTGTAACTTATTTTATTAAATACCAGCATAACCTCACTGAATAATGAGCGGTCTTGAATGTATATCAACTTCATCATTAAAACGAATTTTGCCTTAATTCTCCGAAAAATAAAAACGTAGAATCGAATGGCGTGAATCCATATTTTTGCAAACTTAATAAATAAAATTTGACATTCCGTCTTATCGCGCCACTATGTGTCTATCACGTTAATTGTCGAAAAGTATTGGCATGTCATCGCATACTATTTTATAATTTACGTACTAGTCAATACTTCAAGTTTCCATTAAATCGTAATTGATATAGCAATACTTTTGTATAAAAAATGTACTAATTGTAATAAAAAAAGGAAAGTAGCTTCATCCGAAGAATGTTGGCATAGTGACTTGATCCTCACGTAAATCAGAATACAATTTAATTGAGAAACGTGGTTGCAGAGCGTGATTTGATTCCGACATTGGCGACATTCGTGGCATGCTTGTTTGCCGGAGTCGAGCTGGGAATTTTAATAGGGGTGGCGATTGATCTGGCAATATTAATTTATTTCAACGCCAGGCCGACAATATATATCGAATACAGAAATGTAAGTACATAACAATTATTGACGAAGACTTGATAGAGAGAAAGATAAAGTGCTATTTTTTTTAATCATTTTTCTGTTTTTTTTTGGTAATACATCCCTTTATCACCGCAGATTCCTACGTTAAGCTACATCCTCGTGCGTCCTAGCGCGGGTTTGCTGTTCCCGGCAGTTGATTACCTGAGGACATACCTATTGGAGAACTTAGCTAAGGACCCTAATAAATTACTGAAAACCTTCAAGAATTCGAAGACCGTCGTTCTGGATTGCGAGCACATCGATAAAATTGATTTCACAGCGGCGCAAGTACGGTCGTAATTTCAAAACGGAGAAATACGGACGTGCCCTGAATTTCACATCTTCCAGCCTGTCTTATTCTCTTCTTGCTGCTTAGCCATCTACTACGAATATATTACGTTGTGCATTAAAGGGGGAATAATATCCACAGAAAATACTAACACAAGGAAAAATATATAATTCGATTCTGGGCTCGAAGATCTGAAATCCAGGAGCAGATTTGAACAGATTTTATTTAGAGTTTCGTCGATCACTCAATATTTTGCAGGGCTTGAACATGGTAATGAGAGATTTCAAAGAGAAAGACCATCGCTTAGTAATGCTACGGCCTTCCAAAGAAATCCTACATAGCGTGCAATCGCTCTGTAGCGAGACGATCGAGGTGGTCAACACCGATGCCGAGCTCGTGGCTACTTTAAAAAAACTGAACGCCGGCAAAAGGGTTCAGGAAACCGACGCGGAAGTAATAGACATGACGAACGGGAAAAGCGCTGGCGGTACGAGGGATGAACTTACGAGTACGAAACTTTGAAAAGGACAGTGAATTTATCAAAGAAATTATAAATTCGCATATATGAAACAATATTTATAATTCCTACTATTTTTTTTCGCTTTTTTTTCTTTTTTTTTAATGTATATTGGAAATTGAATTGTAAGACTATCAACGATATCGTATAAAATCGTAATGAACATTAACGCGTATTTATGATATATATATGAATTTTATGATCATTCGCATGGTTTCTTTTAACTCTTTATAAAGATACACGAATCGACCATGAATGAGTTTTTACGAAATTACTAGGTTTCTCATTTTTTTGGTTTTAAATCTATTTCAAAGAAACTATTGACACGTGCACCCTCGTAATACGTATGAAGGAATAATACTGTGATTATAAACGTGTATCAGAATATGTCAAGGGATTGTATTATATATTTATATATTATATATAACACCTACCAAGTATATGGCAAATTTACGTTTCATTTTGTAAAAATTTGTAAGTTCTCGAAAAATAAACTATATGATATTTCTTAACAATATAAGTAATATTTAAACAAAAATAAATCGTTACGCTCGAATATAGTGTATATCATATAAAATACTTTGCCTTTCAATACAAAATGAAAATAAAGAAATTATTATGTATCAGCGTCAGGGAAATTAAATTATTTCAAACGTTATTATTACTGAAGAGAAAGCTTAAGCACTAACGGCATGTTGATCACAAAAAACTTAGCTTAACGGAAAATGAAAGGAATAGAAGTATATATATTTGTTTAAACGCGAACTAAAAGTTGAATCATTCGATAATACTTTCCGTCGTAGGAACTGAAACAAAAGGATCTCCACTCTCGTAAATCATTAGTCAATTAATCACACGTTTCTGTCGCGCAGAAATTAAACGTATCGCGGATGAAACGCTTAGAAACGAGCGCCTGATTACTCCTCAAGAGTGTACGTAGAATCCAAGTAACGATTAACATCAATGCCTATTAATAATAATACGTGGATTATAAATATCCGAAGGGAATCTAGAAAATAGATTTGCTACTTTCACACTGTTACGATAGGAAAAACGAGATGAGAGCCATCGCATAATCTTTCTTCCAACAAAGTGGCAGTACTGTATATAAATTTAACTCTTTTTTTTCCTTCGTTGAAGCTTCTGAACTTTGAGAACTATTTTCTAATTATGCGATACATCTAACACGAAGCGTGTGACGGTCACGTCTGGATCAATTGAAAGAAACAGGAAAATCTTTACGATATACATACATATACATACGTGAGGATAACGATGATGCAAACGGATAAAAATTGTCTAGATGTAAACGTGCAATGTCACTCTTTTTGTACCGCTCAATCATCTAATTATTTAAAACAGTAAATATATATGTATGTTGTACCGTTACCTCGCCGCTTTTCCTAGGCTTATTGATCCATTTTACGCATACCGCGTCCCACGTTCAACCTGGACGAAGGCTCTTTCGGCGACGCCTGATGGTAAGTAGCATTCTTCTGATAATGAGGGGTGTAATGATGCATGTTCGCGAAGTATATCGGAGCCGCGGATTTCTCCGCGCGCCCGTATGAGTTCTGAACGTTATCAGTCTTTCGTGAGTAATTAATACCGTAATTCATGTTCATAACATCTTTTGGTGATATCATAGGCTGCGCGCATTCTGAGTCGTCCTGCCTCCCACTGCTCGCGTCCCGGTTACTGTGATACATGTCCGGCATCCTTGAGTAATTGGCAGTAGTTGGGGTGCACGGAGAGTACTTCTGATTGACGTGCACGCTCGCGGGTACGTTCCTCGCGACCGAGTCCATGATCGCGTACGAGATCAATTGGCCGTCCTGCGAACAATTCTGATATTCGTTTGACATCGGAACTCTATACTGACTAGCTCTCATTTGATAATCCCCGTTGTCGTTATCCTTCATCCTGCCGTTCGATTTGGAGCCCTGTGCGCTCCCCATGTAGTTATCGAGCTTCATCGGCACAGTGAAGTTCGGAGCGTTTTCCAACGATTGCATCTGTTGATAGGGTTTGTAAGGGACGTTCTGCATAGATGTTGGCGGGGCACAATTCATGTACTCCGTCAAGTTGTTCGTTGGTAACACTTGATTGGAGAACGCGTTTGTGTACGGCGTGTTTTGGAACAAGGGTGCCGGGTAATGTAGCAACGGGTTCCAGCTCTGCATGCACAACGGTGGCATGTAGAACATCGGATGAACATAACCCGGTTGCTGCATATTGCTGTAATCTGCGTTGCACGCGTGTCTCGAGTTCTGAAAAGGCAGCGCAGGGTTCATCATGTTGCCTACGAGGTACATGTCCGTGACTGGAAAATTCCATTGATTCGGTTGCGCGGTACATGGAAAGCCGGATGGTGGCAAGACTGACGTTTGAGTATTGTGCATCAGTAAATTCGAAGGATCGGTCTGAGTCATGTTTTGAGTATCCGCGGCGTATGAAGAGGTACTTGGGATGAGGGTGCTCTGAGAAACTATCGTACTCTCAGCCGTTTTCCTTGGCACAGTCTGAGCGTTACTATGTTCATTCAGATACATCGCAGGCAGACTTTGATAATTTAAGCTGCTACTAGGTGGTAATACCGACTGCGACGACGGGATCTGCGAATTTTTATCGGCTTTCTGTTGCGCTAAATTCAACATATGTAAATCTCTTTCGATACTTCGAACGTCTGTACAATTCTTATTATATTGAGCATTATTATCGTCGAAATAAGTCTTATTTTGTACGCTTTGATGGTTCTCTATTTGTTGAGCGTTTGATGCAGTTTGTACGTCGGGGTAAAATGGGCTTGCCGGAAGCTTACTTTGATTCACGGCGCTGTTGGAATACGACATCGCAGGATGATACGTTGAAACGGCGATTTCTTGAATGTTGTCGGAGAATTTAACTGATTTTGTCTCGGAGCTAGAAGCACTTGTTTTGTCATTCGTATTATTATTACTAGTGTCCTCTTGTTCAGTCTTTAAAAATTGTACTTCAGTTTCGTTACAAGACCGCAGAGCTTGTGATCCATCTTGCGGTGTAGACGTATTTCTAGTCGTAGAATCTTTGGTACCATTCGAAAAATTTAATGGCTTCGCAGACTGTACATTATTTACAGCGATTGATTCTGATGTATCAGTCTTGGTCGTATTACTAGCACCATCATTTGTCCTATGCGGATGTACAGTTAACCTTGAGCCATCGGGTTGCGAACGTCCTTTCGGATCTCCCGAGCTGAGACGATTCACTCCATGATCCTTCGTTAAATTATTACCCGTATTTACGTTCCTCTTCTGCTCGTCTGTTTTCTCGTCTTTAGACATCTGAAAATTACTCGAAGATCGTCTGTAAACGTTCGAATCCTTCTTAAACTTCTGATAACTTGTTTGATCATCTTTAAAATTTCTATCGGTCGAATATCTTATGGTGGTTAAATTTTGATAACTTCGCTTGCACGGCGCGGAACTCGTTTTCGCGAGGCTCCTATCATTTGAATTATATTCAGAAACGTTCGAATTCCTCGCGTTCTTTCCCGATGTAGTTTGATTAGATTGTGTATCGCTAACTTGTTTATTTATCGAGGATTGTTGACTTTCAAACTTTTTTTTCGTCGCGTTTTCAGTTGGCACGTTGTTATTGTTAAAACCAGGCGAACCCTGAACCGAAGTATCTTCTTCCGGTTTGGCTGCGTTTCTTACATACCGTGGTGGTTTTATTACTGGTTTGTTTCTATAGTACTGAACGTTGTATGACTGGGTACGCATTACTTGAACCTTATGACATTTCGATTCATCTGCTGTCTCGCTACTTCTTTTATCTGATTCGCTCCTCATCGGTTTTAATTTCGTAGCGGATGGCGTGAGAGATTTAGTTTTATCGTCTTTTTCCATCGAAGGTCGTCTTTTATTAGGAGTATCGCCTAGCGTGGAAGTATGTTGTCTAGAAAACTGCTGCTCTTTCGTTCGCGTTTCTTTAACTACAATTAGATTCTTATTGCATCCATTGACTTTTTTATCGCTAGGCTTAGGAGTTATTCCTACACTTATTTTCTTCGAATCAGTAGAAGTTGTACCATCGTCGTTACTTAATAAATCATCTTTAGATTTCGAACCCTGTTTCAACGAGATGCCAGACTCTTTCAAAGAGCTGCCTGTAACTAAAAATAGTTTCGTTTCTGTTAAAAAATGTCTATATTAGAGTGAAAGCTCTAAAACTTGAATTCTCACCAGCTGTTGGCTTTTTGATTTTCGGATCACTTATCCTCCTATTAATATTAACTTTCGTAGTTGTCTTTTGTATACTTTTCTTAGCTTCCAACGGTGATTGACTTTTAGATTTGGCATTGTTATTATTGTTATCGTGACATTGCTTTGGGTTCATTTGATTATTTATACTGTTATCTGACTTGGACAGGTCAGACACATTAAGGTGATTCCTAATTATGTGAACGAGCCAAATGAAAATACATATAAAACTGAACCAATTGTACGTGAATCAATAACTGCTGCTTACCAGTAACTCTCAGCTTCGTTATCCAATTTATCTGACTTATTCTCCTTCTCTTCGAGTCGAAGGTGTTCCAATTGCACATTGACTATATCCTCGGACACATCAATCACCTTTTTCTCATCCACCCTTTCCAAAGCTAGCGTTTGAGGATTTGGGACTTTGAGAACTTGGTTAGTTGCATTGACATCTTTATTCCAAACGGTATCCATACTTCCAGAGCATTCACCAGTACTTAAAGACAATTCAGCTGGTTCTTTATTTAAAACACTGTTGTCCTCATTTATACTTTTATCCAAAACAGAATCGATCTTCCTTAACTCAGCACTGCTTGAACAAACGTTAACCGATGCAACTTCACTTTCCTCCTTTGTTCCTTCATTTATTGTACTAACAACAGTACCAGATATTAATTCTTTGCCTGGATGTACTTTTCTGCTATAATACAAAGACGATACAATAAATTAAATATAATATTAGAATTCATAGTTTCCTAACATCTCGTGAGACAGATCTATTGTATGCTGCTGGTTTTTGAATGTCATGTCTTCTTAGTATATGTACATAGGAAGAAAATAAGAGAAGAACAGAGTAAACTAAAGAAGAAAATAGATAAAACGTACTGGCCTGACAGCTGAGAATTACTTTTCAGCCACTGCATTTTATGCATCTTGCCAATTAAGGCCGTCTGCTCTATATCAGCTGCTTTTTTAAAATCTCTATCAGTAGTATCCATCTTACCTATTACAGATTCATTTACAAAAACTAAATATAATTCTCCAAAAAAAATGATAGCTTAAACACTACTTCGTACAAAACTGAGGCCATAGAAGATAAATGAGAACGCTAATAATAGTTCTTATTGTAGCGTTAAACGTAAATATTAAATAAGGTAGCATAATGTCGTGAAAAAAAATTTAATTTCCTTGAGAGCTCTAGTCGTAACGTTGGACCATAATTTTCCTAACGTATCAAGTAATGTCGTAAAAATGACCAATCGATTATGTTCAATGATCTCACGTGAAATATATAGCCTGAACGTAATTAATATGAGTGGGAGACGAATATAACAAATATATTTACGACGCAATATCGCAGCAAATGCAATATTCTTGTGGGGTCTTCTATCAGTTTCAATCTCGTCTGTCGAACAGTAACAAAATATCGAATTACCGTCTGCTTATTTCTCCAACGACGATTATGATATCAATCCACGGTCAGCTCGCAAGGAATGTTTTCACTCCATTTGGTTTACAACGATGAAATACAAAGAACATGCGATCACCGTAAAGGACGCCATAACACTGATATGGGTGAGGAAATGCGCAAATGCGAACGAAGGAAAAGTTTCAAATGGAATAACTGAAAATTCAGCTTGTATACGGATCTCTCGTTACGTATGCTGTTGCAGAATGACATACTTGATGTTTAATAACTCGTTTAATTGTTACAGATAAAATATAATTCTTGCAGTACGGTTACTGTGGTACGGTTTCGAGATTCAAACACCCCACCCCCGTATAACGTGTTCACTGTACAGAGTGTGATAGAGGCATAATAAATATGCCGGAAATTTGTCCGCCTATTGTTTTAATTTGTAGTTAAATAAAAAGTAAATAATTTTTAAGAATTAATAATCAGAATTTTATATCATATCTCGTAGCTTGAAGAAATGAGAGGAATACAAATTTTATGGAATGTGAAACGAAATCAAAGGATGAGTGTTAGATGTTTTACGTCTAATAAGAAAAAATTCAATAAGTGAACCATCGAGGAGGTATTATTGATTCGATATATGATTATAAACATTATTTTTTAACTATTCTCCGTCAGTTAGTACTCCGCTACTGTTCAGCAGGAATAAATATAGATAAACGGGGAGGGGGAGAACCAGATGAAAGCGGAAGCGCTGAAGAATCGTCAATTGTCATTGTTATTCTCAATTATATTATTTATTAGTTTCATTATAAGGAAATCTACTCTAATTAGAAGTGAAGGATCCCTGAATATTGTCGTAATTACATACAAAATTCGTCTGACATATAAAAATTATAATAACCCTCCAGGGAACGTCTATTATGATAAAATAATATTACATTATTTTTTATAAATATTTATGCCACGAATGATTGAATCCTGACGTGAAATAGCATTTAGATTTTCTTTTTATCCCTATTTCCGGTTTAGGTACACTTCTTTTGCAGCTCATCAGAAATCAACACTTGCTGTAGGTGTCCAGTCGCTCCCTGGAGAATAACTGTAGCACATAAGATCGTGAACTATAGTCAAAATGATTTTGTTGTAATTTTTGTTATTGTGACAAACCGGAGAAGTTAATTAAATTATCGACTGCCGCGGCTGTGGAAATGTAAGATCCCTCTGTCGAGAAACACGTGAATCATGCCTTTCACTCGGAACTATCTCTAAAACGAAATGCTGATACAGCGCCTGTAGTACATCGTAGGAACGTACAGCTCGTTGTCAGTTTACAGCGAGACGTGTTCGGCGCGTACATTGATTCGTAGTGTTCCGCATCGCGAGAGGATGAAATAACATCGCCGTTTTTCGCCTGTTCACTCCGTAATGAACGTGGAATTGGTACGAAACCAGGTTAACAAGCCGCGACAGGTTATACATTTGGCCCACTAACGTGATCGATAATTCCCCGAGGAATATATGACACAGTAAAAATGAAACTGATTCGGCGATAATTGATGGCATCTTCTCCGATACTTTGGATCCAGCCGGAAGTACGTTACGTTATTATTTTTACTGTTTATTTTTACTGAAATTCAACTACGACACTTGAAGTTTGTTATTTGAATAAAAACGATCGTGAAAACCGCATTCGTTTAGCCGTAACACTTTTTAACGCGTACTCGATAGCTGCCGATGAAAAGGGTCAAGCAGCTATGGCTCTTTTTAAATGAAATCGGTCTGGCTAATCTATGTATCAACGACTTGAAGTAGGTTACACTTTGCTTTGGGAGATCAAACATTATTCAACTTCTTTTTTATGTAGTTTCATTACTTTTATAAAATACGAAATTTTTTTCGGGCGCAATTTAGTGCTGCGAAACTTACGTACGTTCGGCTAATGAAAAATTGTAACGGGTGACTCTAGAAACCAATCTAAGACAAGGAAATGAGAATAAAAATGTTTCGAGACTCTATTTTTTAATTATAAGATTAAAAATTGCATTTCATGCTTATAAACATTACATATAGGCAAAAATTTTTTCGCTGTCATTAACATAGTATGTATCACTAATTATAGATACGTAAAAACATAAGAAAACCATTACCATTATTTAATACATAGTCACATTCAGCATTCGGTGTCACATTGGCCTTATATAATATTTAATTGCAATCTACTGCAGATAGTTGAAAACTTTAGTTTTTGGCCTGTCCTTCACCAATGTTGCAATTTAGAAAAAACGAGACAGCAGTTAAATTTCCAATAAAACCCTAAAAATTCCTTTTTTTCCCGTTAGAATTTTGTGCTTTTGCCATTGAAATATTTCTTTCTCAAAAATATTTTGGGTTCATGCGATACAAGTCGGATTTTAAGCGATTTGAACAAACCTTAAAAGACTCACAATCAGTTATTGCAGTCTTTGGAGGTGATAGGGAACCTGCTGTCGCCTGAGTTAAAAATCACTAATTGTGATTTTTCACGGCGATTACAAAATTGCGGCTCGTGATTGTACTCGATCACAAGTGAACATGCTGCAATCGTAGTATTCATACCTGCTAAACTAGTCTGAAATAACTTTTGATTTTTAAAATATCCGATGGAATTGAAAAAAACATTACTATTTATTTTGGAAGATAAAATTACTTACTTTCTTACCGTGCAGCTACTGATTCCGAAAGTACTTCTTCAACGTAACGGTAAATGCTATGAAGTATATTAGCATTTAGCCTGTTAGACGTTGCATCCAGGTCAATTTTTAATTATTTATATTTAAAAAATAGCACCTCAATTTCTTTTATTCTTGAGTTTTGATTTCTAAAATCGTCCCTTAATAAAATATTTCCCACCACTAATTGAATATCCAGTATCTAAAGACAATTCGTCCACAATTTGTAATCCTATTTTAAAAATTAGTTTGATATAATTTACTTATCAGAAGGAATATAAACTTTTTTGCGTTTGACTAGATTTTGAGATATTAATAGAAATTTTGAAATATCTTTAAGATACTTCCCTGGTCTGAAGGACTCTTTTGTCCGTGAGTGAAACATAATCCTGTGGCAAGTTGCAACGATAGATACTCCTTTAATAGATTGTAAAATGAAACAATCTGCTGAGGTTGTCTTTGGAGATTATCTATTCTGCAACGAAGACTATTAAGTTAGCAATGTCTGTTGTGATGCACAGTATTGAATGAGCAGATCGTATCTTTCTACAATCTACACAATAGTAATTGTAAGAGTATAATTTATACATATTAATATCTCAGAAACTAAGATACAACCGAAGCGGAAATTTTATATCCGGGACACTCTTCCCCTTTCCGTTAACTAC